AAGTGCCACACCCTGACCAAGTGCTAAATAGACGTGTGCTATTCAGTTTCTGCACCAGGCCGCCGAGGCCACAGGAGCTGGGGGAGGTGCTTACGGAAGGACCATGCTGCTGCAGTCCCCCTCACACGCACCACTTGGCTTTTGTTTTTCTTTTTCCTTTGTGTTAGAGACACAGTCTCACTCTATTGCCTAGGCTGGTGTGCAGTGCTGTGATCACGGCTCAGGGGCTTACTGCAGCCTCGACCTCCTGGGCTCAAGTGATCCTCCTCCCTCAGCCTCTCCAGTAGCTGAGACTACAGGCATGCGCCACCACCCCTGGGTAATTTTTAAATTTTTTTGAGACAGTGTTTTCCTTATGTTGTCCAGTCTGCTTTTAAAATTCCTGGGCTCAGGTGGTCCCTCTGCCTCAGCCACCCAGAGCACTGGGATTACAGGCATGTGCCCTGTGTCCGGCCTGTTTTTCTTTCCTGTGGCACTAACCGCCCCCACAGAGGGAAAAGTAAGCAGCAGAGCCCTGGGTTGAGGGCGGTTGGCGTAGGGGCAGGGACTGGCCAGACTGTTGCTTCTCCACTGCCCGCCTCCAACATAACCCCATTGTGGGAGCCAGGTGAGGAAATGCATGAGCACTGATTCTCCACAGGATTTCCAGTGTTACACACGTGGTAATATTGCTCACATCACTTGAATCTGCAGTACCGTGTGAAGTTGGAGTGTGTGGCAAGAAGCAACGCTTCGAGGGTGGTGGGTGGAGGAGGAGGGGCCAATCTCACAGGCCAGGAACCCATGCAAGGCGGCCGCCTTCCTCCCACCCCGCACCTTCCTCTGTCTCTGGCTAACACCTGGGTGATGGGCTTTATGCATCTGAGCCAGAAAAGAGCGAGTCACAAGCGACCAATGTGAGGGAGGGGATATCATCGCACACCAGGCAAATACAGGCTCAGTTGCCAGTTCCCACATCCCTCCAGCCCCTTTTGATGAGCAGGGAACTTTCTTGCTTCTGTTAACACGAAAACAACAGTTGGCCCTACGCATGTAACGAAGCAAGCACTTGCATACGGTGTGCTTACTCCATGCTGAGCACTGTTCTTAAACACGACCAGCACTGCCTGTGTAATTCTCCCAGCACCCTACGAGGTGGCTACGATCATTAGTCCCAGTTTACAGACGAGCCAATGGTCGCTTGGCGGGGTTTAGGAATTGCACAGCCAGTAAGTGGCCAGGCCAGGATTTGGACCCAGGTCATGCAGCCCCAGAGTCTATGCACTTCACCGCCATGCGACGTGGCCTAGTTCCAAGGGGAATGGCTTGCCTTGTAGGTGATGAGCTGCCCATCATCATGGGCGACAGGCAGAAATGACTGAGCTAGACAGCGGTCTCCTCCACATATTCAGTGTGTCCTCTGTGTGGAGCTCTGAGCTGAGCACTCTGCCAGTGCCATCTCATTTCAGCCCGATGACACAATGCCAGATGGAACCATCATTCCACTATATGGATGAACAAACTGGGTTTAGAGAGATTGGGTAGCTGGCCCGAGATCTCTGGCTGCTGAGGGCTGGAGCTGGGACTCAAACAAGTTTGCTTAATGCAGATCCCAAGCTCTTCACCTCTTATCAGGGATGGTGTCCAATCCGTGAGGGTTGGCTGGACTAGATGACTTTTGCGGTCCTAGTCAATCCAAGATCCTGAGGGACTGTCTGACAGGTAAAGGGACACACTCCCCTGTTACTGGCTCTAGCTCTCCCCTAGTAACTACTTACTACACCAAAAATACTAGGCATTACACTTTTCTTTTGTTTTGTTTTTTTTTTTAACATAGGGTGTTTCCTGAAAAGTTGCCTGAGGAACAAAGAGTTAAATAAGACCGTTAAAGGATCAGCTGTCCCTGCCAGGCATCTGAGTCCCCTCTGGGGCTTTGAGGAGACAGTCGCTGTCTTTCCTGGGGGTTCCACCACCTTCCTCATCCGCGCTGCCGCATCTGACAACCCTGGGCACAGGAGTCTGCACTCGTCTCCACGATTAATCCAGCAGTCAACTTTCAGACCTTGTCCTGCCTGCCCCATCCGCACCGCCTGGCAGGTGGGTCAGCCCGGCGTGACGAACCGTCTTCATCTGGCTTCCTGGACGTCGCCATCTCTTGGTTTTTGGTTGTTTTTTCCAGTTGGCTTTTCCAATTTATATCTGCAGCATGGATCTCTCCTCTGAACTCCGGATGCATAAATCTGTCTACTGGACATTGCCTTGAATGTCTAGAAGGCATTTCGAACTTAGCAGGTCCCACACTTAGCTCCTAATTGTCAGTCCTGCCTCCAGCACACGCCCCTTTTGGTGTTCCCCATCGCAGTTGAGGACAACTGCATTCTTCTAGTTTCTCAGGCCTCAAACCTTAGAATCACCCAAACTCCTGTCTCTCACATATCTCATCTGTCAACAAATCCCATCAGCTCTACCTTCAACATATGTCCAGAATCCACCACCTCCACTGCTACCACCTGGCTCACTACCTCCTAGTAACCTGGCGGGCACTGTCTTTAATCCGATCTTGACACAGTAGCTGGAGTATGAAGACACAGGGTAGACGACGCCTCCCTTCTCCTCCAAACTCTCCAGTGGATTCCTCCTGGTCAAAGTCAAACCTTACTTGGCCCTCCAGACCTCACCCCTGCATCCTCCCGCTGGACCTTATCTCCTCCACCCCGGCCCCTTGCTAGCTCTGTTTCAGCTCCACCGTCTCCTGGCCATTCCCTGAACCTGACACATGCTCTCCTACCCCAGGGCCTGTGCGCTGGCTCTCCCGGTGAGGAAAACGCTCTCCTCCCCATCTCCACCGTGTCGCATCCTTCACCTCTTTGCTCACATGTCCCTTTCTCAGAGAAGCTTCTACTGAGGCCTCCGCTCACCCTCTTCTCCCCTCCACATTCCCTGTCTTCCTTTTCTATTTCGTTCTTCTCTACGGGACTTATGGCTCGTGTAACAAACTAACCTATTGTTTGTGTATTTATTTTTGCTGCTTCTCTGTGAAAACGTACACTCGAAGCAGCCAGGAGTTTTGTCTGTTGATCACGTTGCACCCCTGGAAGGTGGGGTGGTGTTCAGCACAGCGGGTGTTCAGTAGATGTTGTTCCGTGAATCAGCACGTGAGTTGCAGCGTTGTGGCTCCCAGGGGCTCAGGATGCGGCGGGGGAGCCTCCCGCCTTTGCGTGGTAGCCGCGGACTCTGTGTCAGCGACTGACCGTTCACATCTTGGAAACTCAGATCCTCAATAGCTCTTGAATTCCAGGAATCCTGAGCAGGCCTGGATTAAGGATTCCGTCGTGGGCCCTCAGATGGGTGAGAAACGGGGAACCCGTGTGTCCCAGCGGGGACGGAGGGGCCAGCGACAGGACGGGCAGGTGGACGGGGGGGCAGTGACAGGACGGGTAGGTGGACAGAGGGGCCAGTGACAGCACGGCCAGGTGGACAGGGGGGCCAGTGACAGCACGGGCAGGTGGACAGGGGCCAGTGACAGCACGGGCAGGTGGACAGGGGGGCCAGTGACAGCACGGGCAGG